CATAATTTCTAAGTGTTTCTCCCTAAAATAAATTAAGTGCAAAACTCCAGATTTTGAATGGTTTTTGGTTGGCAGCCACAAATTGAGGATAGAAGATAAGAATCTGACAGCAAATCTTCCAGTTGGCCTTACAGCCAAACACAATGACATTTATAGGACATACAACTTAGAATAATAGGTTGGAAGTCATCCAGTCCAACCCCAAGCCCAAACAGGAGACCCTACTGTGGACCAATGGCTGACCAGTCTCTTCTTGAAACCCTCCAGTAATGGAGCAGCCACAACTTCCGAAGGTAAGTTGTTCCATTGATTATTCTGTCAGGAAATTTCTCCTTAATTCTAGATTAGATCTCTACTTAATGAACTTTCACCCATTTCTTCCTGCCCTGCCCTCAAGTGCTTTGGAAAATAGCTTCTTCTCTCTTGACAATCCCCAAAGTACTGGGTTGACTGCTACCATATCACCATAGTCCCTCTCTTCATTAGACCAATTATACCTAATTCCTTCAATTGTTCATCATACAGTTTTGCCTCCAGACCCCTGATCATTTTATTGCTCTTTCCATTGTCTCAACATCTTTTTTGTATCATGGTGAACTGGGCATAGTATTCCAAGAGTAATCTCACCGGTGCGGTATAAAGTGGTACTATCACTTCACATGATCTTGATGCCATCCCTGTTGATGCAACTTAAGAGTACATTAGGTTTTTTTGGCAGCTGCAACTCACAGCTAGCTCATGCTTAAGTGATAGTTCACTAGGACACATAGATGTATGATCCTATGTATGTATGTATGTGTATGTATACTGAGGTTCATGTTGTCTAGCACTTTTCATATCATACTGAATTTATGAATTTCACTCGTAACGCAAACCACCAGGAACTCATAAAGCAACTATGTATAGTTTATAAGTCATTAATAGTAGAATCTGCAGATTACAGGTTTGACGTATACTGTTCAACAGTCCCTTTGTTGACTCTGCTGTAAGTATTGATAAGTTTTCTCCAGGAAAGATCAGGGATCACTGGAGTAAATGTTTTCTTTCCCACTTGCTAACACCATGATAAACACTATGGTACGCAATCTGATATAGCATTGCGATTTTCTTTGGTTTAGCTGTCTATTCATACGGACATCCAAAAGGTGCTTTTTCAATAGGCAATTGGACTTTCTTGTTTTTCTTTGAAGATGTTTCACTTCTCATCCAAAAAGCTTCTTCAGTTCTGACTGGATGGTAGGGAATTGATGACCCTGAGGACACAGATAAACCTGCAAGTGGCCTTAACAACTCTCTAAAAGAATGCAAATGACCAGCTGTCTGTGAAGAATATAAATCTTTCCATTCCCTGCCACCACCCTGCCAGAATCAGTTGAAGATAAACTCACCCAATGAATGCTTTTCAAGCATGTCATTCTGAAGGCCTCTAATTGTTTTAAGATGGTTAAAAAGTAAATATTTAGAAATTAAGATTTCTGAACGTAAGTGTCCTTTAAAAAGATATACCATGGTTGTGAGAAAGATGGCTAATTTCTTTGTCTCCTGTCTATGGAGATTATCAGTCATTGAGCTCATGATTGTCCCAAAGATACTTTTTCAAGAGGCAGCTGGATTTTCTGAACCAGCTGCCTGCAAGGAGTATAAATCCTTTTACTCCCCACTATCCTGTCAGAGCTGAAGAAGCTTCTTGGATGACAAGTAAAATGTCTTCAAAGAAAAACCAAAAAGTCCAGTTACCTCTTGAAAAAGCACCTTTCGGACAACCATGACCTGGATGACTGAGAAACTCCAGAGATATTCACATGGACAAGAATGTCCAAACTGGAGCAGAACACAAAAGCTTTTTTTTTTTTCAACCTTTTACTTTATTAAATTCAAATTGAGAAAAGATTGCAGGGGAAAAAAGTTCAGGCTTCGTTTAGCTCGCTCAGGGTAATGTGTCCACTTTCTGCTGTACAGTTACTTTATTGGGTGGAATTTGGAGGAGCTGCATCACTGGTGGGATTCAAATAATTTAACAACCGGTTCTCCCAGGGTCAGGTTGGAGGCGTGGACCATCCCCATCCTACAGCTCCACCGCACATGTGGGACGATCCTCCTGCAATGGCCAACCTGACCCTGATGAACAGGTTGTTAAATCACACACACACACACACCACTATCGAAGTGGATCCTGGGTGCTGCACTATGCTGCAATGGAGAAACGGGCAATGGAGCGCTCGGCATGAGGGGAGGAGGAGCAAGGAGAAGAAAGCAGCGTTCTCCTTCCCTTGCGCTGACCACTCCGTTGCCATTACTACACTACACCGCAGCACCCAGGATCCACTTTGATAGCAGGGGAGAGGGTAATTTAACAACCAGTTTGTGTGAACCGGTGCGAACCAGCTGAATCGCACCACTGAGCTGCATGACTTGTAGAGATGCATCAGGTACATATTTGTTTATTTATTTATTTTCTTCTGCTCTATTGTATCCAATTTTCAGAAACTGCCCAGATAGGTTCCTGCCATTTTCCTGGCAGCAAAACTCCTAACCAGGAGTTAAGGTATCTTTAATTTAACTTGCTAAGGTATTTTTAATTTACCTTGTGATTGGTTACCTCAATCAGACTGTATACTTATTAATTAAATAAAAACAAAGCAGAGCCAACACAGATGGCCCATTTCTATTGCACATGCCAAAATATTCTATTGCTGAAATAAATGTCTTTATTCCTGAAAATTTCTAGATCTGCAGAGCACAAGTGGTAGTCAAGTATCCAAATCATCCTCTTTAAGTAAGAAAGCATTTATTAGTGCAATTCAAATGTTTTGCCAAAGTTTTATCAAAAATGTAATACTTCCATGAAAACATATTCATTTCCATCTTATACAATTGTTAATAAAACACTGCAAGTGTATTCTTTATAATAAAGTATTGAAATCTGACTAAGTAGGAGATCACTGCAACTTTTTAGTGCAATGCAATTTACACATTTCCTTAGAAATAGAACATCGTGGTAATAAATTAACAAGGAGGTGAGGGAACAAACTCATGGCAATTTAAATTAAAATCCTGTTAAGTGCATACTGTTATATCATACATTCACTAGCATATTTACCATCCATTCAGTCTTCATCTAAATCCAATCTCTGCTTTCTGTTCCTTCTTCCTCCCCACTCCTGTATCCTTACACCCCACGTGATTGACTGTTATCATTTAAATTACTGTTTCATGTTGAAGACTGATTGGAACTTTCATTGAGTATTTGACCAACTTAGCATAGATCTATATAAAGTTGGCACAGATAGACTTCATTGGATTTAGGTATACACTTAACATATATCCTGACCAAATACTGATTATTAAAAGACAAAATATATATAGAGAGAACATACATGAAAATTTTGACACTCTTTTTCAAGCAAATACAAAAAAGATATCAAGTGCAAAAAATATGCTTTCTTGAAAAGACTATAAAAAAATGAAGTAGGTAATAATTTGTAAATCTACAAGGTAAAAAATGCCTAGCTAAAGAGAGAAAGAAAGCAAGGAACACATGTTTAAAATAAACTCACTTCATTCTGACTTGACATTCAGAAGTCACATTTTGACTCCCCGAGAGGGACACTTCAGGTACTTTGTGCATGTATTTTGAAACGTTAAATAAGAACAATGCAACGCTAACCTCATAATACAGATAGTCCTTGACTTACGATCATTTAACAACGCTTCCAAGTTACAACGGCCTCGGAAAAAAATGACTTACAACCTTGTCCTTGAAGCTACAACTGGTGCACCATAACTTGCCACAGCCAACTTGCTGCGGGACAATTTGCCACAGCCAACTCACTGCAGCTCAGCTCACTGTGGGACAATTTAACAATTCAATTTCATTATTTAAAATAAATTTTAAAAAGTATTTTAATTTTTGTCATTCACATTTCATTCTGTCCCTCTTTTGCATCCTTTCTGTTGTGGTTCGTCAGCAGCCAGTGCAGACGGCAGCGGAATTGGACAGTGAGGAAGAAAGGGAGTCTGGAGAGGACTCAGATGAGAGTCCTGCATCTGATGCAGGGATGGGGCCTGGACCATCTGGGAGCGGGGTGCTGCCTTCGGAGCCTGGCAGCAGCAAAGCAGAGGACCCAGGGGAGCCTGTTCCCAGTGTCCATGTGCACAGAGTTGCTAGAAGGCGAGAGCAGCTGAAACAGAAGGGGTGACCTGGGAGTAAGGCTGGGAGGTGATTGCCTCTCCCATAAGGGATAAAAGTCAGACATTAATGCTGAAATCTTTGCAGGAAGCAAAGTAGTTCGATCGGTTCAGAGTCATCCTTGAAGCTGTGTACTCTGGTCGTTTTTTTCTGATACTTCGGTTGCTTTCTGTTATAATTAATTTGGATACTTCTGTTTTTGGCAGCATTCCACAGCACTGAAAGGCATGTGGTTATCTTGGGGAACTGTTTCAAATTAGTTCTGGCTAGAAATGAAAGTAATTCCCAGCGTTGCATTAAAATAGGTTTTGCTTTTAAAACAAGTTTGTGTTTCATTATGTTTGACAAAGCCTGGGTCAGAACATTTTCTTTAGAGATTCTACTGCACCGTTTCTTTACCGTAACTCTTGTCCCGTGGCAACTTGTCCTGTGGAAAGTTGGCCGTGGTGAGTTGGCTGCATCAAATTGTCCTAGACCTGTTTGCAGTCAGATGATTGCAATTCAGGTACATGGCAACTGGCACTGGTTGCAATTAAGGGGCATTGCGTGTACAATCTTTGCAGCATCTTGTCGTCACATAATTTGCAATTTATGATTTTCCCGGTTGGCTCCCAACAAGCTAAGTCAATTGGGGAATCCAGATTTGTTTAACAAACAATGATTCTCTTAATGACTATGTGAATCACTTCATAACCATGGTAAAATGAGGTCCAGTTTCATGATGACATGTTTAATGACTATATTGCTCAGCAGCCAACATTTCAACCCCAACTGTGGTCGTAAGTCTAGAACTATCTGTACTGCTTTTTGCTTAAGCAGACAATTAAGTGCAATATATTTAGTGACAATGATAAGTACAGAAGAATAAGAATAACGAAGAGCACTAAGTTATAGCACTCCCAAAGTTATATTTACCCAGCCAGCTGGGTAGGAGATCTGAGCTATTTCTTGAATGGGATTCAGATTGACCTGACATCAATAACAGCCATCTCTCCAATTACCATCCCGTAGAGTAGTAAATGAAGAAAGAGGTTTCGGTGGCTGGAGAAAACTGTTTAAAAAAACAAAACAAGTTAAACATAAAATAAGGCGAAGTCCTTTTCTCCAAGGAAAGACATCACAATAGCTAATGTCAAGACAACTGCTCAGTTAAAAGAATTCATACCTTGCCAACACCAATTTATTGGCTGTATAAAACCAAAGGCAGTCCAGAATGAATAGGATTACAGCACAAACCAACTGAAACAACTATTTAATCCGATATCTACCTATTGATATCGATGTTTCCCATTATTTACTACTTGTCACTTTCCAACTGCTGATACCATGGATTATTTTTGCATCTTTTGCATGTAAATCTCTGGTGACTCAGTTCTCCAATATAGCATGTCACTAACAACCTCATATCCATGCTGACACCGAGAAAAAAAAACATTTAGTGTTTACTTTGATAATAAGCAGAGAGAAGGTTAGTGTCAGGATTCCAGCAGTTACCCCAATTAAATCATTAGTCTGGGGGGGCTGGGGGCTGACGAGGTAGAAGCCTCAGCGTTGATCCGACCATGGGTTTTAATAGGGTACTATGGAATACCGGGTGTATTTTCCCTAACAATCGGGGCAGCTTCAATTGCACCGTGACTGGGTTGATAAATCTTTATTATGGGGAATGGTCCCATGAACTTTGGCCCCAAGTTCTTGCTTGGGAGTCTTAACGTTTTCTATACATGTTTTATAGTTGCCAGTTACATTCTCATAGGGAAACTCCCCTAAAAGACTAGTATCAGTATCAGATATAAAATCAAAGTTAGAGGTGGCTTGTTAGTTTCAATAAACCCAGTATCAGCTGGTAAGCTTGAGCTGGATTAATTTCGAAACAAAACATTTTGTGTTTGCTGAGAGGAGGGTAGATTCTCATCGGGAAACTCCCCTAAAAGGGATGCAGATAGGTTAGTATCCGTATCAGATATAAAATCAAAGTTAGAGGTGGCTTGTTAGTTTCAATAAACCCAGTATCAGCTGGTAAGCCTGAGCTGGATTAATTTATAAGCAGGTGGGAGACTGCTACAAAGAATTGTCTGGATGCTCCTGGAATTGCACAATGAAGGTTGCCTCATCAGTACAGAAACCTCTGGGTGGAACTGAAGATGACAGAAGATTAAAATATGCATATTGCCAGACAATGAGCTGCCAATCTGAATGATGGGTACCCATTTATGTCAAATGTAAATGATGTTATATGTATGTTAATATGCATGGAGTTAAGTAAAGTTGAAAAATGGAGTTTAGAAGAGGGGGGAGTTATTATACTGCAAAACTGTCCTTCCACAGAAGCAAAATCTGAGTTCTACTGGACTCAAATAGAGCTGTGATACCCTGGCAGGAACATTCTATTTAGGATACATGACAATCACAAGCTTTCTTTTATGGAGAGAATAAAAAGCCACAGTTTACTCAAGTAATTAACATACTAAACCAAATATACTCACCCAGACAATGAAACAATGCTTCTCCTAGCAAGTTGCAATCATTCAAAAAAAATTTTCTTAGGTTGATGGGAGAACACCATGCAACCTATTATTCATTTCCCGAAGCATTATGAAATACTTCATCTTATACACTACTTCTCATTATTTTTACTTCTCTGGACTGAATCCCCTAGAGCAGTAAAGTAGTGGCGCATAATGCATAGGTAAAAACCTATTGGCCTGTAGCATGGCAGCTACTGCTGCTTTTTGACAATATTGTAGGTGGTCACTGATAAAAACCTGCTTCAAGTCAAGCTCAGCTCTGATTAATACATTTTATCAGTGATTGTCCATTGCTTTTCCCAATTTACTAACCTAGAAGTCTGGGATTCTTGGCCTTTTTCCTCTAAGGACTAGCTAAACCTGAATCTGTTTAGCATCCAATCCCAGATACGGTTAGTTAGATTTTGCCATCAGTTGAAATACTTCTGATTTAAGCCTTAAAATACGAAAATAAGCCAAAATATGAGGAAATTGTCATATATTTCATGTTTTCGGCTTTCCCATTGAAAACCTACTCAGATTTCAGGTGGGGTACCCAATTTTGTGCGATTCATTCATTCCATGATATTTTAGATAATTTGATGAAAATGAATTATTTTGGAGCATTATGCCATTAGGAGAAGTTAGATGTGGCCACAAGGCTTCTAAGGGTCACATTTACTAACACCCACCAGTCGTTTAAATAGTGTCCCTCAAGATTTTTCCCTGAAAAAGCAGTGGCTCATATCAGGAGAAAGGGTGGTTACTTCTCCTCTTTAGTTTACATTTTGCTCTGATTCAGATGACCTGTAATAGATTTCCCTTATTGGTACAGTTTATGATTAGGGTTAGAATCCAAAGAATCCACCAAGAATCTGATGGACATCACACTCCTACCTTACCCAAATATTAAGTTAATGCAGATACAGGTAGTTCTCGATTTACAAGCACAATCGACCCCAAAATTTCTGTTTAGTGAGATGTTGGTTGAGTGAGTTTTGCTCCTTTTTACAATATTTCTTGCCGCAGCTGTTAAAGTGAATCACTGCAGTTGATAAGTTAGCAACCTGATTAAGCAAAACTGGATTTCCCCATTGACTTCGCTTGTCAGAAGGTTGCAACGGTCATAAGTATGGAACCAGTGGCCAAGCATCTGAATTTTGATCACTGATCATGGGGATGCTACAAAAGTTGTAACTGTGAAAAATGGTCATAAATCATACTTTTCAGGGCCGCTGTAACTTTGACCAGTCGCTAAAGGAACCATTGTAAGTCGAGGACTACCTGTACTTGATATATGAGAATTCTTACTCACTTAGGCATCTCTAGACTTCATGACAGAACTTCAGGGGAGTGGGGATTATTCTTTAAAGATTATAAGCTCAATTTCTCCTTCAACAAAATGTATTCTTACCTTCGAATTGGCTGTGCAATTTTGCTCCTAGGTATACTGCTTCCACCGATGGCCAGGGAAGGCCTAGGAAGACTACTACGAGTTACAATATTTGTGTTTGCAGTCTTGTTTGGCACTGGAATGCTTGTACTGGAATGCATTTGCAAGCTGCTGTTGGACAACCCAAGGCTACTGCCGCTGTTACTTCCTTGAACTGTTGGACTCACATAGGCCATAGCTTTGAGGGGCTGCCTGGCAGATATTGGAAAGTGTCCCACGCTGTGGACTCTGTGTTGAAGTTGCCCTGGTGAAGGAACTAGAAAGAGGAGAAATAGAACAGATTAACGGAGAACTGTAATTTAAGAGAAATGTAAATAATTCCTGACAGTGATTCCACATCAGTGGTGGGATGCAATTTGTTTTACTACCGGTTCTGTGGGAATGGCTTGGTGGGCGTGGCAGGGGAAGGATACTGTAAAATCTCCATTCTCTTCCCACCCCACTAACCTGCTTTCCAGCTCCGTTCTCCTGTGCAGGGCAACAAAAAAAGACCCAGACAATCAGCTGGGACTCGGGAGGCAGAGAATAGATGGGGGTGGGGCCAGTCAGAGGTGGTATTCTGAGCTATTTGAAATTTCCGCTACCGGTTCTCCAGAACTGGTCAGAACCTGCTGAATACCACCTCTGCTCCACATATTAACACGAGGAAGTAAATTATTTAAACAAATGTACTATATAAGAATGTATTCAGATGCTAAGTTATTATATAGTTCTTTCCTGTTGCACGTGCCGGGTGGCTGCTCTTCTGGTTTCCGGCATGCGCATGTTCACCGGCACCTGGCCTTCCAGTTTCTAACATGCATGCGTGCGTGAAGACCAGCTGGTCGGTGGACATGCACATGCCAGAAACTGGAAGAGCAGGTGCCTGTCATGTGCATGCGCACTGGGCGGCTGCTCTTCTAGGTTCCGGCAATCCCAGGCGCGTGAAGACCAGCTGGCTGGTGTGCCGGAATCCGGAAGAACAACGGGTGACAGCTTGCGTGCCCAGAGAGATGGCTCTGCATGCCACTTGCGGTACGCATGGCATATGTTCGCCATCACGGCCCTAGCATATTTGGCAGATTCACATTTGAACAACAACCCCGAGACCCCTGAAGTCCTACCCGTTTCTGATCATGAATCAACTGCTCTGAGGAAACAATTCCTGAGGAAGGGAAGGAGGGAAGAAAAAAAGTCATACTGCCTGCAATTGTTTGGAAAGCTACAGATATAAATTTAAGGTGATACTGAAAAGAAAAAAACGACCAGAAGCAAGAACAACAAAAAATATTCTAAAGTAGTTCCCCCCCCCCCCCCCAACACCTAAATCTGGGGCCCTGCTCGTTCCTATCAATCCCAATGATTTGCCATAGGAACTATAGAACTATTGGATCAAAAGATCCAAGATCAGGAAAGAATGGTAATCAAACAGCTTTCAATGAATACATAAATAAAAAAGCATGAACATTCTCATACTTACTGCAAGACTGAATTCTAGATACCCCATTACTGGCTCCATGCAAGTTAGAATCAAAACTTAGGCTGTTCCTCACAGAACCAGCAGGGCTGCTGTTTGCATTGACAGTAAGGGTACTTGGCATTCGAGCTAAATTAGGCATGCTTCTTCGGAGTTTGTCTGCAGCAAAAGTAAGACATTTGCATGGTCTGAAAAAATCAGGTATGGATTTCAAAGAGATAGTTCTTTTGGATCAAGTCAAAATGACCAATCGATGTGGGATTTACAGAAGGACGCAGCCGTTCAAGCAAGCTAATAATGGAAAATCTTATCTGTTTTGATTGTACCGTGCCAAAATCCCCTATGGCAATATGTTAACTTAGAAAACTCCAACAATATTCTTTTCACACTAAGATCCCATTTCTGGGGTGGGAATAATGCTGATTGTGATATTTCAAAAAAAAAAAAAGAAAGAAAGAAATGGGAGGAATTTGCCCTAGGTGGCTCTGAAAGTTTTCAGTTCAGAAAATCTATGCCAGTTGAAGCTACTTCAATTCAGTCTTAACCTTCCTTACTTCGTATTTCCTCTCCCTTCTGGTCCTAACTTGCTTGATCGAAAGAGTGGTAGGAAAGGTTATGTATTAACTTCTACCTTAATTTTTGTGCCATCCCAACTTTGAAAATTAAATCTGTGCTAACCAACCAAGTCAGATGTATTCAAGAATGATGCTTTTTGCCCTAAAAGGACTTTAGCTCTGCTGCAGTCCCAAAACAGTCACAATATGTGGTGAATAGATTTAGCAGGTTTCAAGCTGCCTGGGCTTGAAGGAAGACAAAATGATGTATATCTTATCTAGAAATAAACAATAACCTATCATCATAAAATAAACTAGTTCAAATCCCAGCTAGCTATAATTTATATGCCTTCTTGTCAGAACTTCTGACATAGTATTTGCCAGGTGTACTTAATTATAAAGCTGTCAAATACTGTTAATATATAATTTAATGATAATTTAATATAATGTAATATATATTTGAGGGACGCAGTGGCTCAGTGGCTAAGACACTGAGCTTGTCTATCAGAAAGGTTGGCAGTTCAGCACCACGTAACGGAGTGAGCTCCTGTTACTTGTCCCATTCTGCCAACCTAGCAGTTCGAAAGCATGTAAAAATGCAAATAGAAAAATAGGGACCACTTTGGTGGGAAGGTAACAGTGCTCCATGTGCCTTCGGTGTTTAGTCATGCTGGCCACATGACCACGGAGACATCTTCGGACAGCGCTGGCTCTTCGGCTTTGTAATGGAGATGAGCATCACCCCCTAGAACTGGAAATGACTAGCACGTATGCACAAGGGGAACCTTTACCTTTTACCTAATATATATTTAATAATATATATTAAAAGAATGTTTTCTCTTCCAAAATTAAAGAAATGCTGACAGAATTAAGAATTTTAATGCAAAACAACAACAACAATAATAATAATGATCAGCTAGCAGCATCTATTACTCAGGGTTACCCCAATAATAAATGCAGCTTACTGAGATGCATGGATTTTGATCCTTCATTTAAATTAACCTTTACTTAATACCTTCCAACTGTATTAGAATATGACTCCAATTCCTGTTGGGATGGTTGTGATGGCTGAGAGTAACAAGGTTGCCAGAGCTCCACTTGAAGCAGCAAAACTCATACTGCTGAACACAGGAATCCTCTTCTTATGGAAGAGAAAATGTGTGCTTGTGTGAGGAAATAAAAAAAAGAAATTTGAAGGAAACTACTTCCAGAATATTAAGCCTTTATGAATTATTTTTAGGCATATTGTCAAAAAAAGCACAGTCCACTAGTATTACAGTGTGTTCAGGATCAGATATAAGCTGATGTCATGAAAAACTGCGGTTACACAAGCCAGCCACTCTTACCTCCATTAATTCTGCTTGACTGAGACTCCAGAAGATTTGGGGGTTGAGGAGAACAAAATGGCTGCTGTTGATTATTACTGTAGGGAAAATATGGGGAAACTGGGCTCCTCCTACAGTCACGTATATTGGAAAACGTTTGGGAATGGGGAATTCCTTTTTGGAAAGGAGAACAACGTGTGAGTCGAGGCTGTGGAGGAGGTAAGTGGACAAATTCCTCTTCCTCATCTTCAAGGCTATAACGATCAAATTCCTGGTCACCACTGGTCCCTTTTTTGATCAAAGGAAGAGATACATTGGAACTGTTTCTTGACACTGATGTCGACGTTGAAGCATAGTCTTGCCTCAGGCCTGTAAAAGAAGACAAGATCCAAAATACAAAAGTGGTAAAAACTATACTTCTAATAATAATATAAATATAATTGCATTACTATTTTAATCTTGCCGGACAAACCATGATCAAAGAAGCAAGAATTACACAGATTTCAGTAAGGTTTCTTTAATGGGAATCCAGGTAAATACATACTCTTTGAAACTGTAAGAGGAAATTTCCCAGCCTTATTTATACCAAGTTCATTAAAACAGTCTGTCTGAATTCTTTAAAACACTTTGTCACACCTGCCACAAACTAAAACCTCTAAATAGAAATGACCCTTGGCTCTGTTTATTGAGAAAGGTATAGTTTTATCAGAAGTCAAGTGCACTGAGAATTGTGCGCCAAAATCCCTAAGTTCAACTTTGCTTTCCCTTAGCTGCCTCCCATTGCTGCTCCCCCCCCCCACTACGCCGATCAATCAAGTTCAAGCAAGATGTTTTCAGAATGGTCACTTCAAGCACAGGTTGGTATGCGCTGCCTTCTTCTCCCAGCCGGCTGACCGTGAAACAGCATTCTGGGGAGAATACAGCAATTACTTTCACGTTCACCAAGTGGCAGTTATTTTCACTCCCCCCCCCCAAGCATCCACCTTCCCATCCACGCTCCCCAGAGTCTGTGGCACGTCGTCACCGCATGATATCGAAACACAAGCAAATGTGAGGTGGCAGCTGGCCTGCTTCTTTCTAGGTTTCTTTCCATTCAGGTTGTCATTCAATGAGATAAGCTATCAGCTGATTTTCCTGTCAAATCTTGATTATTTACATTCACCCTCTGTTCCATTCCTTTCCCAGAACCACACAATCTCTTACAATAGATGCCATTAGGTTGGTAGAAAAACACGGCATTGCACCTGTATAGTAATCTTCACATTGCAAAAATTCAGTTCAGATCAACATCAATTGAAAACGACTATGCATAAATTTTTAGCACAAAAGCGACACACTGCCATTTTCTTTTTATGCAATTAGCACACTCTTCACTCCAATTAGGTTTCTTCTCTTTGCAGTGGATCAAATGCCATATTAAGTTAGGACAGTTAATTGAGATTTACATTGGCTATTCAATTAAGTTCTTGAAAGTATATGAGCATACACATTTTTAAGGCTTTGAAGTACTCCATATGCAAAGGCAAATGTACGACTGTGTATATACAATACCAATCTCCTACTCCTTCAATTCAATGCCTATTTTCCAGGGAACAAAGCAATTCAATTTTGTAAAAATATGTAGATGTTTTAAGGAGTTACGGAAAAGTAGTATGCAAACACTATTTTCCCTTAAAAACCAAAATACTATAGCACATTTGCATTTTTTTTTAAACTTATCTTCTACAAAATCATGTTATTTTGCAAAGATCAAGCCTTTTTTTCTAATCAGAAAGCAAAAAAAAACCCAACAAGGGTCGGCGCGACGTGCAATATGTTCACATTGGTGCAATAGGATTGTGTGTTTGTTAGTAGGATTCATTGGGTTAGGGATTTTCTGTCTTTCACTGTGAGTTGCATTGTATTGGGGGAGGTGCACTAAGGAAGGCTCAGCCAATCTCGTTGTACACATGTTGTACACCGACAATAAAGGTTTAAATATATAAATGCAACTATTTAGAAAAAGGAAAATAAAAATTTCAACTCACTCTCTTCTTGTAGCCGAGCCATGATCTGGACATCTGTGAGGTCTTGTAGTTTGTACCCCATGGAAATGGAATCATCTTCTAATTCTGAGGTGCTCAATTCACTGTCCAGAGATGACTGGGGACTAAGAGGGGAGCTTCTAGAAATGCAATCTGTTGAAAAACATTAAATCCATAAACATTTCATAAAGATAACAGCACTAGTTTATAGATTAATAAACTAAGAATGTGACTGTTATATACAGTATGTCTGCATCATCCCAATATCATAAATATCTATTTGGATGAAAAACTCAATGACACTATAGAACGGGGTGTCAAACTCGATTTCATTGAGGGCCGCATCAGGGTTGTGTTTGACCTCGGAGGGCTGGGATGGGCATAGCTAGCTTGACGTCACTCATGTTGGGGACACCTGTGGTGGCCAAGTGCTAAGTCAGGACTTCCCTCAGACCCTCCCTCTCTCTCATTATAATCTCCTTCCTTCCTTCTTTTCATTCTTCCTTCCTCCCTCGATCCCTCCTTTTCTTCTTCTTTCCTTCCCTCTTCATTCTCCTTTCTTCTTCCTTCCCCTCTCTCCTTATTTTTCCTTCCTTGCTCTCTTCCCATCTTTCCTCCTTTGTCTCTCTTTCCTCTTTCCCTTTCTCCTTTCCTGTCCCTTCTTGGATGCTCAAATGTAAAAGAGGAAACATTTCTCCATTTGCTTTGTTTTTAGTTTGTTTTGCTAGCCCTCTGCCAGCGAAAACAGAGCCTGGGAGGGCAGGTGTGCCCCTGGGTTGGTCCTTTGTGGCCCGTGGGTCTTGAGTTTGACACTCCTGCTACAGAAAATGTACCAAACCCACCCCAGCAATCCAATGATATGCATACTTTGCATATGGTTATTAGGAATGTGGATGACACCTGAGCACCATTTTATGTTATTCATTAAATAGATCCTCTTTTACAAAGCTGAAAAAAGATGCTGCTGCTTTGAGTTGATTCATTAAGTAGAACAAAGAAAGAAAAATGAAAACTGCAGTACGGATTTATTTTAGATTTGGGGTTCCTAGTTATTTTCTGTCTATTCCTAGTTTTCCTTACAGAGGGACCTTAAATATACCCTCTGTAAACCTATAGGACTTGGGCTGAGAGAATATTAAATTGCTATGTTAGTAAGAAAGTAGGCATTACCTGTTTGTTCAGGTGTTAATATTGCTTTGCTGAAGGTTTTAGGGAACGCAGGGCTGTTAAAGCTATTGCTATATGGAGTAAACCTTGCAACAGGACTATAAGGAAAAGCCAAGGATACAGATGAAGAGAAGAGACTCCGCCATCTACTAGCTGTTAGTGGGCACAGAAAAGAAAATATCAGTTTGTATTTAGCAACAGATTGCATATCTATTGGGAAGTTAATATCACAAGAAAGATCAAACATTATTGATATATGTGCATCTAGCAAGATAAGTCTCACTGGAGACAAGGGCAATTTATTCCCAAACCAACTGATGTATGAGAGATTTACTAAATTTATTTGCTGCCCATCTCGTATCAAAACAAGATGCCATTTGCATGGGAGTTAGTCCTACTGAACAGATAGAATACCAATAATTTTCTATAGGTTAGAAGGGGGAAAACCCTGTTTAAAATAAATAAAAAAGAACCACATTATAAAGGAAAGAATAAAAAAGGGTTTTTCTTTTCTTAATTTTCTTCTCTCTCATACAATACAATTTAACCCTGAACACTTAAAACACATCTTGGTACCAATATTTACCTATACAAATTATTTAAATTGAAATTTAACAGTAAAAGAAAGGATATGAAAATATTCTGATTATGGACAAAATAAGTACACATACCAGAACAAGAACTTTAGAAGCTAGTTTTGTTAAATACTAAAATCATCGTTATTGCATACAGAATAACAAAGCCGTGTTTTTAAATGCTTAAAAGCAATGCTGTATTCATGAGCTTTTAATTATCATAGAAGAAAGGTTTTTGAAACACAATATTATTTGGATTAATTATTGACAACAAACTTGAATGAGTGAAATTTCATGGTAAAACCACAGATTCACTTGCCAAGTAGCCAATATAAATTGCATCCCCATTTTTAAGCTTTTAAGTCAATAAATGTAAACATTTCTTCTTTTCACCAAAGTGAAATTTCAAGTTACACAAATACATTTTTTAATGAAAACGTACACACTCCACGGCATACATTCTTCCATTATAATCATGCTAAATGCCAGATTGTTATACAGCCAATGATGGACTGAATGAATCGTTTATCTAAATTATGCATGCACATATATGAAAGAGAATACTTCAACATGTCTTCTTAGTTTAGTTTACTTTATCGTCACTGCACCTTGTACAACGAAATTAAATACCATCTTCAGTGTACATTATGACTATGAAAACAAACACAAACACACATCCTTCACATTCTATACATTGAATTGAAAATTCCTGATAGTGCATTAATATTGCACTATACAGTAGAATTCAATAGAGTTACCGCCCTGGGACAGAAGCTGTTTTTCGGCCTATTTGTCCTTGTTTTTATTATCCTTGATCCTATTCTTGATCTTATTTAAAGAAAAGCCAAGAATAGCAAAAGCCATTTTTAAGACAAATTTTCAACCTTTTGTCCTTTTTATTAGAAATCATAAAATGTAAATGCCTTTAAATTGAAAAGGGTCTTTTGTGCCTTTGGACTAGTGTCATAACAGTCTGATCCAAGGCCATCTCCAAATGCAGTCTGAAGCCCACGTGTAAAGAGCCTTCATTATTTTGCCACAATTGGGCCTTTGAGAAGACTCTCACAGGGAACAAAGCTACTGTTTTTGCAGCTGGGATTCCAAGAACCTCAGTAATAAAAAAAAAAAACAGCATTTGTGCCAAAAACAGAAGGAAAAAAAAACCTGGAAGAGGACGGACAGAGCATGTTCTAATCTAGAGCTTTTCGTTGCTGTTAGGGAAAGTGTGAGATTTATTTCGGTCAGTTTGAGCAGGAGTTCTTTCAATAGCAAAGGGAAGGGGGAAAAAAGACTATGGACCTTCTGCTCTTCTTAGAAAAAGTAATTTCAGAATAGAACCGAGGAAGGAAGTGGTGAAAGTCAAAGGTGTGAAATGTGTTTTTGGAAAAGTGATAAAAATGCAGTGCTCCTTGGCTGATTCTTTCTTTCTTTTTCTTTCTTTCTTTCTTTCTTTCTTTCTTTCTTTCTTTCTTTCTTTCTTTCTTTCTTTCTTTCTTTCTTTCTT